ACCTTGAAGCGCATCCGGAGACCAATGGGGAGCCAATGCAGCTCGCGGAGGATAGGGGTAACATGGGGGTATCTAGATAGACGCCATATCGCTCGCGTGGCTGCGTTCTGGACCAGCTGTAGTCTTCGAACACTCTTCAGGGTCAGCCCCATGTAGAGCGTGTTACAGTAATGGAAAAAAAAAGCACCTTTAGGATAACCATGACCTGGATGACTGAGAATCTCCATAGACATACTTGAAGTGATAGATACATACCCTGCCTTCATTATGATATTTTGGAGGAATTACTAGAAAATACTTAAGTTTATAATAGGAAAATGTTTTTTATGTTGCACATGAGGATAGATATAATTATAGTTTTACCTATCCTGTTTTATTTTTGTCAATGTATGAATCTTCTATGTGTAACGAATTTGACACCTTGATTCTTCGCATAGGTCCCAATTATGTATCTTAAAAAACTTGCTACATGATAAACAAAATGCCAACACAAGCTTTGTTAAATAACAGCCAGTTGGGTATGAAGCCTGAGCATAATGAAAAATTTAAACCATGTTTAATTTTATGATTGGTAGCTGCTTCATTTGTTCATTTGGATGGTGGTTTATGTAATTTGATTTATAGCTAAACATGACAGCAGCATTTGTTTCTTAAAAGGACATTTATTTAGTGGCTTCTTCCTTACTAAACTCAACCAGGCCTCCAATCATATCACAACAGGACACATATCTAAACTCCCACTGAATCCAGCAATATCTTTATTAAAATCTTTTTTGCTCTTCTGACTTGCCCCTGTATCTTTCCGAGGGGTCTAGCAAATATATTAATTTGTATCTGAGCAGGTGTGTTTGGAAGGTGCATCTCTTTGACTTTTAGTATGATAACAAATATTAATTATACCTGCTCCTTGGGATTATACCATATCTCTATTCTGCAGACTTTTCCCCCGTGCAACTCTTCTTCAGATTATTAGACCATTTGAGTATTAAAGATTTTGGCATGTCTGTGCTTCTGCAAATGCCACATTAGAAAATGAAGTTGCACAGTTTATAAACAACATGCTAAACTATAATCCTTTTATTCTAACTGAGCTATTCCAGGTTCAGATGATGATTTAATCATATTAAAATCAACAATCCTAGTTAATTCCCCTTGTTATTTGAAAACAGTGAACTGGTGTATATTCTCACAGCTTAATCGTCTCTTGGAAACTTCCTCTTTAGATAGAACCACCAAAGGCATTGTGAATACTTCAGAAAAATAATTAATGAGGAGCAGGACACTTATTTGCTACATTCTAGGCAGGCCAGACAAGAACCGAAAACCATGAATTCTATTGCTACCTTTATGTAAGGTTGCAGTAATAGAATTTGCAAGTCAAAGCACTTCCTCCCTTCTCTGCCTTTATTTTCTAGAGAACTAGAGAAGGTTCTTTTTGAGTTGCTTTCTCCACTCCCATTCCCCCATTCCCATTTCATTTATTTCCTTATGCTTTTTGCTGTATTTATTTTTTTTCTTTCCCTTTCTCTTCTCTGCTTACTACATATTAATTTGTGTTAGTTTTTACCAACTTGTTTAAATGTTTTTATAAAAATCATTTTTTTTAATAAAAGGAAGTTGCATTTAATTAATTAAACAAGCTAAATTTATTACAGTAGTCAATACATGCCTCACAATCTACCCGTCATATTCTGGAAGACACCCCCCCCCTCAAGGAGGCCTAACTAAGATTGAGAAGGGATTGTCTGACGTACAGAAAAATTACACATTTACAAGAAACAGATAATGTGTATGGTGATGTAGGAGAAGAAGTGACAGAATCTGGGGGCGGTGTTAAAAGAGGAATTGGCCTAGAATCTCTTTGTAGCTACAAGCAGACAATGTCCAACCCTCCTTGAATTCTGTTCATTCTTACAAGTAGTCCTCAACTTACAGCAGTTCATTTAGTAACCATTCAAAGTTACAAGGGACCATTTTTTCACACTTATGACCATTGCAGCATGGTCATATGAACAGAATTCGAACTCTTGGCAACCAGCTCATATTTATGACGATTGCGATATCTCAGGGTGGTGTGATCACCTTTTCTGACCTTCTGACAAGCAAAGTCAATGGGGAAGCCAGATTCATTTAACAACGGTGTTACTAACCGTAGTTACTCACTTAACTATGGCAAGCAAAGTCATAAAAACTCTTTTTTAAAAATGAGCTAACCTTTATTGTTATTTTGATGACTCGCTTAAGAACTGTCTTGCTTAACAACAGAAATGTGGGGATTGTGGTTGCAGGTTGAGGACTACCTGCATTTAACTCAACAGAGAGAAGATGCTAACTACTAGTTGAGAAGGTTCCTGTGTATAGGCACAAATACCAATAAATCAATTGAATTGGATCTTCCTGTGTGGACCTGATCTTTTACACCCAACAGTTATATCATAATTGAAAGGACCTGTGTGAAAAAATTAAGGGATTACCCTCTTCCTCTGAGTTTCTGCTTAAAATCCTCCTTTGGGTAAATCTCCCCTGAGGTCAAAGAATGTTGTGGTGTATCTTTTTTCAGAATCGAATGGATAAACATTATGCACCTTTGAGAAAATCCAGCCCATCTAAAAGAGTTAGCCATGAATGTATGTCCCCGTGATGCCTCTTAACACTCCCCCTTTTCCGGGAAGCATCTGAAATGAAAGCTAAATGGGGGATAACTGAAACATTTGCTCCTCTTTGAGTCCTTTGTTTGGGGGAGGGGGAGGAGGCTCCCTTTATTTGCTTGCTTCCTGGGAAGGTGTTTTAGCTACCGAATTTTTCAGACTATAAGACGCACCGGTGTATAAGACGCACCAAGATTTCGAAGAGGTAGATAAGAAAAAAAAGTTTTTGTCTTCCCTCAGCCCCCAGTAGCACTCTGCAGGCTTCAGCAGGGCTGGGGGAAGGCAAAAACGCTCCCGTTTTTCACCAAAACGAGGCCATTTTTCCCTTCCCCTGGCCCTGCTGAAGCCTGCAGAGTGCTGCTGGGGGGTAGGGGAAGGCAAAAACACCCCCATTTCGGTGAAAAACAGCCCATTTTTCACCCATTTTTCACAAAAATGGAATCCAGGGGCAGAGCTTCAGGAGGCCAAAAATGGCTTTATTCTGTGCATAAGACGCACCAACATTTCCAGGCTCTTTTAGGGGGGAGAAATGTGCATCTTATACTCTGAAAAATACAGTATATTTATGTCCTACCTGTCAATGACTACTTCAGCTTCAATCCCAATAATACAAGAGCAAACAATAGATGCAAACTCAAGGTAAACCACTCCAAACTCGATTGCAGAAAATACAACTTCAGCNCCCAATCTATGAGATCTAATTGGTCGCAGGGAGGTAATTGGCAGAAGGCGGTCTCTCAAGTACACAGATCCACTACCATGAAGGGCTTTATGGGTGACTAGTAGCACCTTGAAGCGCACCCGGAGATCGACAGGTAGCCAGACACCATGTTCACTCCATAAGATGAATAGAAGTCTCTACCCACTTTTCGGGGGAGGAGAAAGTGCATCTTATGGGGCGAAAAATACAGTAACTTGGCATGAGAAGACTTTTTGGCTGAACAATTTTTGTTAAGGCAAGACATGTCCACCTTTGAAAGACACCTATAATTACTGGATGGGATCCACCCAGAGTTTGTTGGCTACATAAGTATTTTAAATAGATAAATATTGATATCTTTCAGACAGAGAAGTTGTGGTAGGTGCAAACTGATCATTGCCTAAGCGTTTGTGGAAAATCAGGGGTCCATGCCTATCGGATAAATGGTGCTCTTGGGTTTGCTGCAAAAGGACTAGCAGAGAACCATCCTTCTGGAAATTATCCATGGTGGAAGATTAGGTGCTGTACTTTGTGCCTCAATGCTCTACTTTGCTGGAAAGGTAGGCAGCATATAAGCCCTGGGACCTTTCTCCTTGCCAGTGTGGGCAGCTATTGGGGTCCTTTTGAGGTCAGTTCCTGCCTGAAACATTGATTTGTCTCTCTAGACTAGACCACTCAAATTGCAGTCAGATGTTCATCAGATCCTCAGCTGGTGAGATCAGAAGGTTTGTGACGCTGGAGCCAGGAGCTTTCCAAGTAACAGTTTGCTGGGTAGGCAAAAGCGTCAGTGCACTTACGAAAGAGCAAAGGGGGTGGGGTGTATCTGGCGAATACACACCCAGCAAAAAGATCAAGGGAACCTCTTGAGTGGTTGAGAAAACCAAGCTGACCCTTGTTCCACTTCTAAACTAGCTTCTCTTCCAGACAGGCTGATGTAACTCTTCCTAAACTCCAGAGCTGACATAAAGAAATAAAAGAGCAAAAGCTCATGAGTATACAGTAATTAACCTTTTCACAGCAAGCTAATGCTACAGAATAAAACAGAAAGAAAAAGGGCCCTGGGCTAAACATCAATTTGATAGCCTAAATTAGATGTGTCAAACTCTATTTCATTGAGGGCCGCATCAGGGTTGTGTTTGACCTGGGTGGGGTGGGGTGGATAGGAGGGCGTGGACAGCTCGACGTCTGTTTTTGGCTGCAAGAGGCCCTCCTGAGCTCCATTTGTTTCTAAGCCAGCCTCGTGGGCCAGATCTAAGCACCCCATGGGCTGGATCCAGCCCGCAGGCCTTGAGATTGATACAGAGGTGATATTCAGCAGGTTCTGACCAGTTCTGGAGAACCAGTAGCGGAAATGTTGAGTAGTTTGGATAACCAGAAAATACCACCCCTGACTGGCCCCACCCCCATCTATTCTCTGCCTCCCAAGTCCCAGCTGATCAGGAGGAAATGGGGATTTTGCAGTAACCTTCCCCTGCCACACCCACCAAGCCATGCCACGCCCACCAAGGCAGCCCACAGAACCAGTAGTAAAAAAAATCGAATCCCACCACTGGTTTGAAACCCCTGGCCTAAATATTCTTAGCCCCTAACTGAAGATAGCACGGGGCTCTTCAGACATCCACAGATGGAGAACATATCTCAGATCCAAATATCAGCAACATGAGAATTTCTGTTTCCACAATACATACCAAAGTGAATACTTCATATATCAAATCATAGCACTGAAAATAATTTAGGCGAGAGAGTTCGACCCCATCCCACCCCCGTTCAGTGCAGGAATTTAAATTCAAGCATCTCAAACAGAAGAACTGTGTATCTTGTCCTTCAACACATCCTATGACATTAATCATCTCTCGCTGGTGGTTCCATTAGCAGAAGCTTTTCTCTTTGTCAGGAAAATATTCCAATGATATTTCTGAAATATATATAGATACCTGTTCTGACCCCCTCCTCCGTCCAGTAACAAAAGCCGAGACAAGCTTAACTGGAATGTACTTTAATAGCAAGAAACCAAAACNGTCCACTGGTGGAACCTCTTCTAACCGGTTCGGTAGATTTGACGAACCGGTTCTACCGAATAGGTGCGAACTGGTAGGAACCCACCTCTGAGGTGAGGCTTCCATCTGACGGCTCCCTTTTATACTCTGAGCTGTCAGATGGCTACCAATCAGCTGTCGGCTTTCTCCCGCCAATACACAAACGTGGTGAGCATGCTCAGAACGGGACAATCACAATTTTCTATTAAGTTGCTTGAAAAACAGAATACATTCCAAGAACCCTGGTTAAATACCGGTAGTGCCTTCCTTTGAGACTAATCAAAACAGTTTGAAAAGTGTGTAAGGACATTCAGAATATTTTATAAGGTGAGATGGTCCATAAAAAGGAGAAGATGTAAAAATTGCAGAGATCGATGCAGTTCGGGGGGAAGGGGAGGCACGGCAGGACCCAAACCCCCTTTTGAAAGCAGGCAATGCAGAGATCCTGCTGAGGGTGAAGGCCCAGATCTCGGACTTGGCAGAGAATCAGATAAAGAGAATGATGACAGACGTTCTGTCAACAAAGTTCGTATTTGAATATTCTGTATGATGATCACTGACCCGAATTGCAAACAACGATAAGTGAGGGCAAGCTGGCTGTGACGTGGGTCACCCCCATTGATCACCAGGGTTAAGTCAGCTGATCTGGCTGGGGATGTGGGTGTTCCCTTCCTCCCTCCCTACTCCGCGGATGTCCCTCCCAAAGCAGTGCGCTCGATGGAAGAGGACGACCATTCCAGAAAAATGGAGTGTAGCGATCTTCAATCAAGGATATGGGATAGCTGCAAAGTTAGCAACTTTAGGTGATCTCTACATTAAACAAAAATACAATTTTTGTAGGTAGTCCTTGGCTTACAACTATAAGGGAGCCTGAAATTTATGTTGTGAGGGTGGCTCAGTGGCTAAGAAGCTGAGCTTGTCAATCAGAAAGGTCAGCAGAAAGGTCAATCAGAAAGGTCAGCAGAAAGGTCAGCAGTTAGACAGTTTAAATCCCTATTCAATTTGAAGAACAAGATTAAATGTGAGGCATCCTTGACTTCGTAATGCCCCCCACATTGTGCCACTGCTGGAAGAGAGTATCCATGGCCCTGATTTGAGAGACAGCTAATTTCAGAAACACTGTCAAAGTAAATTGTGACCATGACTAATAAAACTGAACTGGCTGGGTTTGTATAACAAGTTAAATCACAAATCATGTTTTGCAAACCTCAGTAATAGGCTTTTTACACTCTGATAAGCCACCCATTTTTCAACTACTGGGGATTTTTTTAGTGGACACAATAGGGGAACCCAGCCTCTGTTTCAGCTAAAGAGATCTCTTTGAAGCTCAACCCTGGAAAGGAAATGCATATTTTCAGTAAACATAATCATCTACTTTTAAAGCCACTGAGATATCTATACACTCAGAGGCTTGAATTTTATATCCTTTTGTTAATAGCAGATTGCAATTATT